ATCTTTTTTTTAATAAATACAAAGTCCCAGGTACTGTTTTATCACTGCTGTCAACTCATTTAGACCTATACAGATCCTTTAAAGTTGGCATTGCTGCTGTTCTTACCTAGGAGAAACTGAGGCATAGAGAAATAAGTATCTTGCCTTAGTTGCTTAACCAATAGAGTGAAGAAAGTCCAGGCAGTCCAGCTCCTGAGTTTGTTCTTTACCCCTGAGTTATGCTCCCAGTCATGTGAATTCGTGGTGAGGATATATGCCAAATGTGATAGATGCACAGTGCCTAACCCTTGTAAACCACCAGAGTAAAATCATGTGCTTGGTTTTTGTCTAAGAGAGATTTTCCAGTTTTTTAATTTTTTTTTTTTTTTAGCAAAAACACTTCTGAATTTAGTTAAATTAGTAACTACCAAATATGTTTAGGTTTCAGTGCTTTGAAGTGCTGTGAGAAATTCAGGCGTCCCCAGGACCATGCCTGCCCTTTCCCCATGGGTTGTCTCAGAGCTGGAAGATTTAGACACCTTCAGTTCCAGGATCTCTTATTTTAAGATGAGGAAACTGAGTCATAAAAGTATGAAAACAAGGTAACTAAGAATAAGGCTGTTCATGCCCTGCAGATTATAGATAATGGTTATTTACACCCATATCATTGATTAAAGGTAGCATCATCCTCTAAACTCTTTTATAGAATTCATCGTACTCAAAAGCAGGAAAAAAATTTTAAGCCTCTGTCTGAATTTACTTCTTGGAGTTTTAAACATTATTCTCTTGCTCTCTTGGTTTTGTGCCTTGCATTCAAAGTTGTCCTGCATTTTCCTGTTTTATGCAACTGTGTCTTATTCTCTCTTTCTATCCTTTCCTGCTCAAGATTTCTAAGAGACTGATGGCATTGAATGCTCCTAGTCTGTTAATTAGTGGTGTGAGCTATTAAGAACCTGCCCAGGAGGCTGCCCTGTTTTGCCTCTAGATTAGCATTCGTGGGTAGCCCTATGACTAAAGGGCCATGCTTATCCTGAGTGAAGAGGAATCTGATACAGCTGTCAGCAGTCCTCCCCCTCACTCCCAAAGAGATGCCCTCTAAAAGTTGGAAGTTATGACATCCTGTTCTCGAACCCACCCCTTCCTGCACTGTAGTAGGTAGTAACTGCACATAGAGTGTGAGTTTGAGCTTGGTGAGTGTGGTAAAATAGGTAGAATTTTGAGGACATGGGCAAGCTAGAATGTATGGGTGTTTCCCAGCTAGCAGAGGTTTTGCACAGAGTACACTAGTTCAAAAGTATAGTTTTCGATGATGGGTATGACATTCGGGGAAATGTGGATGTAGGGGAGGAGGGCAGGAGGGAGAACAAGATGTATCAAGGGCTGGAGAGCTAGTTTACTTGGATGGGGCTTTTTCTGGAGAAGAGCATTTCAGGAGAACTTGACTTGGGGGAGTGGGATCAGCTAAATTTAAACAGCTAAATTTAAAGCAAGTCAATGGTATTGATTTAGAGCAAACGCAAATGCTTAGATAATCCAGGTTCCCACATAAAATTTTATCTTAGGTGATTTGAGATTGACCTCAACTTTACAGAGCTTTATAACTCTATTGTTTAATGTAGTCTAACTATATTCTTAGGAGACAAAGAGAGTCTGATAGGCTCAGTATGAGTCAGGAGGCTACTTGTAGCTCAGAAAGCTGTGCCCAGTAGGAATAGTTAGATTATAAACATTGGGTAGTTGGGGTAGAAGGCAGTTCCAGAAAGTGGATCATGCCATCTTCTCTCAACGTTGGTCCAGGCGGAGAAGGGGGACTAGTTGTACAAAATGACACGGTAGCCCAGGAGTTGATGAAGGTTAGAGAATCTTCCGTTCTACTTGTAATTGCCAAATACACTGGTCATCACAATCTAGGCCTTACCTAACTTGAGTTTTCCCTATTATTCAGTACTCTTAACCATTCCCCTTGACACTTTCCTTCATATCCTACCACATCCCCCATGCTGTCGTTTAGCTATCTGATTAATTTCCCTGGCATTAGCTATAACCTACACCCAGGCAGATAAGTCACTAGTTCCACATAAGGCTTTTCTCCTGAACTTTGGATTCAAAATTTCTATCTTCTTCTCCCATCTCCTTTCCCAGGTGTCCTGCAGTGACCTCAAATTTCACATGTCTAAAACCAGCCTTGTTAGTCATTAACAGAGGCTTCCTCTGCCTACTCCTTGTCTTAGTTAAAGGTTCAGCATCCATGCACTCACCTGAACCTGGATGTGCACCTTGATGTGCCCACCTCTCTCATCTTCATTTACTCACCTATTGTTCTTAGCTCTCCTCCTAAGGCTCTCTAGAACCCACTGATAGGGTATTGCTATAGATTAAAAAAAAAATCTCAGTGTCATTTGTTTGGACAACTGCAAAAGCCTCCTAACTCCTTGCTGTCAATCATACTCCTTCTATATGATTTCCAACATGATCTTCATTAAAATCAATTCTGATTGTAAGAT